CACCACCTGCTGCAGCTCTGACTCCTCCACCACCTGCTGCAGCTCTGTTCCCTGACTCTCCTGCTGCAGCTCTGGTTCCTGTCCCTGACTCCCCAGCAACAGCTCGAGACCCTGTCCCTGACTCCCTAGCAGCAGCTCTGAACCCATCTCCTGATGCAGCTCCGATCTCTGGTTCTCCTGCTGCAGCCCCGGTCCCTGGTCTTCCTGCTGCAGCCCCGTCTCCACCACCTGCTGCTGCAGTCCTGGACCACGCCTTGTCTGCTGAGGTCATTGTCCCTGGTCCTCCTGAGGTCTTCGCTTCAGGCACGCCTGAGGTCTTCGCTTATGGCATGCCTGAGGTCTTCGCTCCAGGCTTGTCGGATGAGGTCCTCGCCCCTGGCTCGACGGCTGAGGTCCTCGCTCCTGGCTCGCTTGAGGTCTTTGATCTGAGCCTGACCGCAGAAGATACCGGCTAGCTTGAGGTCTTCGCTTCTGGCATGCCTGAGGTCTTCACTCCAGGCTCGTCGGCTGAGGTCCTCGCTCCTGGCTCATCGGCTGAGGTCTTTGATCCGAGCCTGACCGCAGAAGATCCCGGCTTGCCTGAGGTTTTCACTCCGGGCCCGACCGCAGAAGATCATGACCCGCCTGCGGTTTTCGTTCCGGGCCCGACCGCAGAAGATACCGGCCCATCTGAGGCCCTCACTCCTGGCTCGCCTGAGGTCTTTGCTCTGAGCCTGACCGCAGAAGATCCTGGCCCGTCTGCAGAGGTCTTCATCCCTGGCCAGTCTGCAGATGTCTTTGTCCCTGGCCCGTCTGCAGAGGTCTTTGTCCCTGGCCCGTCTTCAGAGGTCTTCGTCCCTGGCCCATCTTCAGAAGTCCTCAATCCTGGTCCACCCCCTGGTCTGCCCGAAGAGGTCCTTGCCTGCTTGAGTCCAGGAAGGCATAGATGGACGCCTGTACTACCCCGAGATGGATGGTTCCCTGGCCGCCCACCGGAGTCTTGGCCTGAAGGTGGATGGTTTCCTGGCTGCCCTCCTGATCCCCTGCCTCGTTGGGGATGATCACCGGACCACCCGCCTGAACATCAAACCTGCCTGGGACGGTCTCCTGACCGTCCACCTTGACCCTGAGTTGGGGTCTTGGGTTTTTGTGTCTTGTGTTTCCCAGGTTTTCCTGTTGGTTTTTTGTTCTTTTGGTCCTGTGTCTACTTGTCCTGCGCTGTCCTCTTTTGCCCCGCCTCCCACCCAAGCTGGATGTCGCATGTCCTTGGGATGTCAGGAGCCATCCCTTGAGTGGGGGGTACTGTAGGGTTTTTGGGGTTTTGTCCTGTCTCTGTCTGTTTCCTCGTTTCCTGATTCAGCTCTCTGTGTTTTCCCTCCTTGTGTTCAGCCCCTGTCTCACCTGTGTCTAATGTTAATCACCGCAGGTGTCTGTCATTGTCCTTATCAGTGTGTGTATATATTCAATTCACTGGTGTCTCGTCTTAGTCTCGGAATTGTCCTTTTATGGTGTTGTATTCAACCCTCTGTTCCATCCGTCTGATCAGTTCTGTGAGTAGCTGCCCTGTCAGCGTTTTGATTTTGTTTTGGTAAGAATAAATATTTTTTTTATTATTCCTCGAGCGTCCTTGTCATCCTCTTGCACGTGGGTTCAAACACACCTGACGACCGAACATGCCATTTATTTCACAATAACACAAATGTTCACTCTGTATAAACTCAGACTACACTACATACAAAATATAAACCCGACCCAAACTGGGTTGTTCCACTTCTATGAACTAAACATGAACTAAACATGAACTAAACATGACATGATTGTGGGCGGCCGTGGTGCAGTGGTAGTGGCAGCCGACCTCTGATCGGAAGGTTGGAGGTTCGAATCCCGACTTCCCACACCATGTGCCGTTGTGTCCCTGGGCAAGACACTTAACCCCGAGTTGCTCCCGGTGGGACTGGATGGCGCCTTGCATGGCAGCCTACCGCCACCGGTGTATGAATGTGCGTGTGAATGGGTGGATGGCTGGTACTGTAAAGCGCCTTGGGGCCCCTCATAGGGGGCTGGAAGGCGCTATAGAAGTAAGCTCCATTTACCATTTACCATTTACCATTACACCCAGACAAAATCATGGCAAAAATTTATGACACAGCACCACCAAACTGAATTTAGACACTCACCAGAATGTCTGAAACAAACTAGCAGGTATCTTTGGAAGCTGGAGAAAGTTACATCAGGACGTGTCACCAATGATAGCTATGACGTTCGTCTCCGTTTTGTTACGTCCTACACATGAGCTCTCTAGCGTTGTTTCCAGACGGAGAAACCATAAAATGAAAGTCTGTTTTCGATCTTTTTACAATTCCGGTCGTGTGACTGGACATTACAATTCCAATAACGCAACAAGTTCGGACCATTTCTAAATTGTTTTAACCTACTTAGATTTTTTCAGAAGTCAGTGAGAAAGCTTGTTTTCGACAGCTAATATTGAGGACCGCAAACATGGTGGATTCAACTCCATCCTATCCCATCAGTCACCGTGCCGTGGACAAGTGACGTCACACTCTAAAGCTCTGTCAGACCTCTTATGTTCAGGAGGATTCAGTCAGAGGGTCAACAGGAAACGAGAAGAAGACTGAACTTGGAGTTTCAAAATAAGAGTCTATCTCAGATTATTACAGAGGACGTCCTGACTTCCTGCTGGTCTTTAGAGCTGATGGGTGTCGGCTGCCTCAGGAACATGAACATTTCATTTATTTCCTCGTTAAAGTTTATTTTCTTTCAGGCGTATTGTGACTACGTGGGCTTCATTCTGACGCTGAACGAGAGCGTGAAAGGAAAGAAGCTGACGTGTCGATTCGAGGTCTCTCAGGTGAAACACTTTTATTTACTGTGATGGTACAGAAGTTTGTTTTCAGCAGAGGAGCCGAGTTTCTGTTTCTCCTCCTTACACTTGGAGGTGTTGTGATGATGATGATGATGATGAAGAGTTCCAGGTGTTTTCTGACCCTCCAGCTTTTTTTTTTTTTTTTTTCTTTAGACAGTGGAGAAGCTGCTGGATCTTTTAGGGACTCTGGATCGGTGGATAAACGAGACTCCTCCGGTCGACCAGCCATCGCGGTTCGGTAATAAGGCCTTCAGAACCTGGTTCTCCAAGCTGGAGCAGGTTGGTTCAGTCTTTTCATCAGTGCCGTCTGTCCGATTGAAGCCCCCAGGTTGATGTTTGTGTCTGCAGGAAGCTGAGGCCTTGGTGTCGGCTGTTCTTCCCGTGGAGAAAAGCGCTGCAGCTCCGGAGATCGCCGTCTACCTGAAGGAGTCTGTTGGGAACCCGACCAGGATAGACTATGGAACAGGTACCAGCTGGTCTCAGATCCAGACTTCACCTTTTTACGTTTTGTTGTTATAAAGGTTCAAGATTCTGGAAATAATTAGATTTTATGGCTAAAAACAAAACTAAATTCTGTTATTTTATGACTTTCATTCTTTTTATTCAATATTTTGTCTGATTTGTGAATGGAGTAAAGCGTTGCAGCCTCCTTCAACTCTCCTGCTGCCCTTGGGTCCAAACCATGCACATGGCCTCGTGGCTCATTTTGACCCAGAGACAGCAGGAGCGTTAATGCCAGAGTTCTAAACTAAGGCCGCTTATCTTGAATGATTTTACACTTCTTGGTCACATCTTAAAATTAAAATGTGTCAGCCCTCAGAGTCTGTGTTAGGATGACTCTCTGCTACCACCACAACAAATATTAGCTCAGTATCTGTAACAATGATAGCTTTATGGACATGGTGTTACAGCTCATCTATGACCCACCTCTCAGCAAAGGACGATTTAAAAAGTAATGTTGCAGGAACCTGTTCTGACCGTGTGGCTCGCTCCGTGTCTCCTCAGGTCACGAGGCGGCGTTCGCTGCGTTTCTCTGCTGCCTCTGTAAAGTCGGAGTCCTCGGAGTGGCAGACCAACTCGCCATCGTCTTTAAGGTTTTCTACAGGTCGGCACTCACTGCTGACTTTACATAGTTTCTGATAAAACTGTATTAGAAGATAAATTAGATTTTAATTACGTGACAGAGCGGGTTTCAGATGTTTGGTGCCATCACTCGAACTAGCGTTCGTTGAAGAAACACAAGTCACCTTCCACCTCACATTCCAAAGGTTTAAACCAAGATCCTCCACCACCTGTTGGCCCTCAGAGTCTCAGTCTATAAACCTGACTTAGGTTCAGGGTTCAGAAAATCCTTCAGGAGGGCTTGACATCCTCTTGTGTCGGGGTTCCTGCAGGTATCTCCAGGTGATGAGGAAGCTGCAGAAGACCTATAGGATGGAGCCCGCTGGGAGTCAAGGCGTGTGGGGACTCGATGACTTCCAGTTTCTACCCTTCATCTGGGGCAGCTCCCAGTTTATAGGTAGGAAACACACACACACACACACACTCTACAGACGGGTTGGGAGCAGCTAAAGTTAGGATGTGTATGTAAACTGAAGCAGAAACTACCAACCACCCAGCTGAACCTCCTCGGCTGTCTCCTCTGGATGTGGAGGAGCAGATGTTCTACTCCAAGTCTCTCCTGGAGAACTGAACTTCTCACCCCATGAGAGCTCATTTAGACCTCTTGGATCCAGGATCTGGTTCTTCCAGTCTCTACCCAGAGTTCAGGACTACAGGTGAGGGTAGGAACGTAGACTGACAGGGAAACGGAGAGGTTCTTCTTACAGTTCAGCTCCCTGTTCAGCACAAAATGACTAAAACCAGGACAGCTCAGTGATGTGAGCAGCTCGGAGACGCAGCTGGACTTGACTCTTTGTTTGGTTTTGTCAGAGGAGAAGTGATGCAGTGACAGCGTGTGTCCGCCAGGGGGCACCAGTCCAACACCACACTGTTGACACCACCTGCAGAGCTCTCTGTAAAAACATCTGAACTGTTCTTTATTCACCTGGTGGTGAAAGCCAGAAGTTCCAGATGTGCTGCTGCTTTACTCTGAGTGGAACAGAGGAAATCCTCCTGAAGTTCAACCTTTTCAACTTATTTCAGCATGTTTCACACTCCCAGGGGGATCAAATACCGTTTGAGTACAGAACATGGATCAATAAAAAAAATTGTTGAAATACCAAAAATACAGAAGTTCTTTTGATAACAGAAATGAAAAATAAAGACTTGCCATTTACAAAAACATAGTTTATTGAAAGAAATTCAGGAAGTTGTAATTAAATGTCCAACAAACTGTTCTAAATTTTTTCCTTTTCGGATGCAAGTATTTTAATTTCAGTGTGTAATATTTAATTATTGTACTTTAGAAAGAACTCTCATAGTTTTATAAAGTTTAGTATTTAAATATTACCAAATATGATCTTCAGAGGAGTCTTTTTTTTTTTTTGTCCTCACATTTAAAATAATGTTTTATTAGTTTATTTTATTTAAATCATTTCAAACGTGGAGTTTAATCTCCTACCCTCTTCTGGTTGTAAAGCTTTCTGAACCCGGAATTCAGTTTTTGTTAAAAAATAAACTTAGAGCTTCTTAGTCTTGGAACTTGGAACTTGGAAATGAAAAGAAGCGCGATGTAGCCCTCAAAGTTCATGAGACGGTTTCCGACAGACTGGGGGAATGTTTTCCTTCGCTGTCCTGCCGAGGTGCCTGCATCTCCACGCTGCTGCCTTCCTTCTAGTTCTTTCACATTTATATGTTTTTCTGGACCGTCTGTGTTTTCCAACCATGTCGGCCAGCTGCTCCTCAGAGCGCTGAAGTGAAGAGAGCAGTGTTGTTCAGCTGTTTCTCCTCATGAACGCAGCCACAAACTTCTGACCAGTCACACAACACTCTGAGAAAACCGTTCCGCCTGAGGCTCGTGCACAGAACGGGATCAGCGTGAGAACAAAAAACATGTGTTTTCATCAAGCAATAATAAAAACAAAATATCTTAATGTCCTGAAGAGTGTAAATGAGCCTTGAATGCACCTCCTGTGGGTAACTGGACCGACTGTGTGCTCCTCCTTCAGATCATTCGGTGCTGGAACCTCGTCACTTCCTGGACGAGAAGGTGGTCAACGAGCAGCACCAGGACTTCATGTTTCTGGACTGCATCAAGTTCATAAACGAGGTGAGAAAACCATCCTAACAAACAAAAAATGTGTTTTATAACAATGGTTTGAATTGATTCAGTTTGTCTTTTAAACTTTAGGTTTTCAGGTTAAAGTTGGTTGCAGGTGGAGCAATTCTTCTGAACTGAGCAGAAAAGTGTGTTTAGTGATGATGGCACCTCTATAATCTGGGAGAAGGTGCCTCGCTGTCGGATCTTATTTAATTTAGTTGTTTCTGCTCAGTGCAGCACGGTGGCACAACTGGTAGAGCTGCTGCCTCTCAGCGAGCAGGTCCCTGGTTCAAATCCCGGTCCAGGGGCCTTTCTGAATGGAGTTTGCATGTTCTCTCCGTGCATGCGTGGGTTTTCACCGGGTACTCCTCTTTCCTCCCACAGACCAAAAACATGCATGTTAGTCTGACTGGTAACTCTAAATTGTCCCTAGGTGTGAGTGAATGGTTGTTTGTCTCTATGTGGCCCTGTGATGGACTTGCAACCCGTCCAGGGTGTACCCCGCCCCTCGCACAGTGATTGCCGGACATGGGTAACGGCGACCCCCGTGACCCAAAATGGAAGAGGCGGGTAAAAGATGATGGATGGATGGATGTTGCTGCTCAAATGATCCGTTCTGGTGAGAATTACAGAAACGTCCAGTTAGCTCCAGTTAGCTCCAGTTAGCTCCAGTTAGCTGTTGCTTCTGTGTTTTCTCACCAAATATGAAGGAATTTTGTTTTATTTGTGTAAACGTTCAAGTTCACAAACAGTTGGGCCTCAGCTGGGTGTGATTTGGTTCAGGAATATGAATATGAAGATGAAGAGCTGGCTGATGGGTGTTGATGGTGAGCCAGAGCAGGAACTGGGCTTTGTTTGGAGGTGGGGGTGGAAGTTGAAGAGGGCGTGAACACTGCAGCTACATCCTTTTCCTCTTCCTCATTTCACTGCCTTCACCTTTCCTCGTCTTCCTCCTCACAGTCTTGAAATAACGAGCTCTGGTAACGTCTGAATACACTTAATTGATCATAAAATGTATCTTTTTAAACACATTTTCATGTTTTGGGCTTGGCTATTTCCTGGTTTCCTCCTCAGTTACAAACACATAAGGTCTGTTTAATTTAAACGGGTCATTTAATTAGAACTTAGATTCTGGTCAAATATTTGATGGTAGAATGGAGCGGGCCTTGTTCTTAGTTATGAGTAGGGCTTTAGAAGACTACTCGAGTAATCGACACGTCGATTCCTAGGACATCTCGCGAGTTTTAAAATTTCATGTCAAGTATTCGCCGTTACGTCATTGCGTCACGTGATCCGCACCGGGCGCGGGCTGTACAAAATGGATTCCTCCAAGCAGACGGATGAAGCGGAGCAGGTCCAGTCTTGACAAACAGGTAGAAACGAATCAGTAGTCTGGAAATATTTCACTAAAGATGAATCTTCTGGTTCAACTACCGAGGAAACAGAAGATGAATCAACTTCCTGACTGTTTGGAGCTCGTTGTGAACCGGTGTTACACCATATTCTGTGACCACCGTATATTGTGACTGTAGGGGGCGGTGTTGCATGCACTGTTGCAGGTCACAGAATATGGTGTAACATCAGGTCCAATCGACCAAACCAGAACCAGCTTCCTCTGACCTTGTTTCACAAACAAAAAGCAAAAAATATTCATCTCTAAACCTATAAAAAAATCTATAAACATATTAATCTCTAAAACTAAACCTAATGCACCACAGCTGGCGGTGGTGTGGGGTGGTTGACCCCCCACTGTTTTTAGTTTCGTTTTTGACGTGCTGCATGTTTCTTCACTTTTGCAGCTTAATAATAAAAACTAATAGTTTTGGTTTTCCTGTGACTTATTTGCAGTTTGATAAATGGTAGGAGCAAAATATACTCTTCTAATGTTTTGTTGGTCTTTTTATTAGTAAATAATAAATTACGTTTTTTTTGCGGGTTTATTTATTTATTTATTTATTGCATCTTGCAATCCTATGACGTCATCAACTACTCGACGTCTACTCGACTTTTATTATGTTAATGTCGACTTTAAAAATGATGTAGTTGTTCAACCCCTAGTAATGAGGATGTTGCCCCGGTCAGTCATGGGAAAGAAAGAGTTGAGTCAAAAAGATTTACTGGTTTGTCTACGTTCCAACCCTCATCTGTGGTCATGAGAACTGGATCTGGACTGAAAGAACTTGATCCTGGATCCAAGCAGCTGAAAAGAGCTTCCTTCATAGGGTGGGGGGCTCAGCTGTAGAGAGAGGGTGAGGAGCTCTGTCATCCAGAGCTTGCTTGGAGTAGAATTGCTGCTCCTTTTCATCAAAAGGAGTCAGTTGAGGAGGTTCATCTGATCAGGATGCCTCCTGGATGGGGCAGAACCGCTCTGGTCTGGGAACACCTCAGGGAACTGCAGACTGTCTCTGGGGTGAGGGAAGTCTGGGTTTCTCTCCTGGACTTATTGCCTCCATGACCCAACTATTGAACCATAGAAGATGGAGGAGATTTAATTTATGGTCCAAGTCACACCACGCTGTTTTTAAGTGAAACCGGAACATTTCAGCTGTGCTCAGCCATTCCTGAACATGACAACAGCAGCCGCTTCCTCCGACCTTGAAGGTTTTGACTGCAGATCTCAGCGTGGAGGTTTTAGACACCTCAGCCAGCTGCAGTCTGTAGTTTCTCTGTTGATGATCAACAGTAACAATGGAGTGGGGGTGAGCGATATAGCTCAAATATAATATTGTGATATTTCAGAGCATTCTGACAAAAACAATAAATTTTGTGATATTCATTCATTCATTCAACTTTTATTTAGACAAATAAATCACATTGGGCCTCTAAGACTCATTTACAAGTGAGATCTCTTTAGACAGACAAAAAAAGTAATGAAACTGGACACGTAGGAATTGGAGGCAAAAAAAAAAAAAAATCCTATCAGACCCTTTATTCTTGGCTGACAAGAAAGACTCATTGAAAAAACACCTCACACATAAAGCACATAGTGACGTAGGCATTCTGCAGAGGGTGGGGGGGGGGACGATGAGAGCAGTGAGATGTCTATGGACGCTCTCGAGGACACTGCAAGAGTTCTTATAAGGATGGAATAATCAACCAGTTCCCTCTGGTGAGATCCGTAAATATTCTCGAATGATGTCGGGGAATGGCCAAGGACAACGCCTATGGGAATCTAAGAGTCCTGAAATTATGACACAATGTTTATTCAGCTGGTTTCCTCTGGTTGATCAGTTGGAAATTCCTTGGGGGGGGGGGGGGGGGGAAGAGCGTCAGATTACATGTCCTCCAGGTGAAGTCAGATAAGGTGGCCTTCAAGGTCAGCCAAGGGAGCCAAATTCGGATAAACACAGTTGTTTTGGGGACAGGCTGAACTTTAGTGACATCTACTTTGAGTCTGTGTCTGTCCATTCGGGTCCGAAATGTCCAAAATTCGTGACCACACAGATGGACCGTGCCTGAGAATAATCCCCGAGAATAATCCCCCGTATTATCGTGAACAATATGATATGGCCCAGCCCTACAATAGAGGACATCAGAGTGCTGTTTGTCCTGATCCAGTGGCGGCTGGTGGATTTTTGTTCAGGGCGGGCTGTAACTCCAAAATAGACAAGCGCGTGTGCGCACACACATACCTATAGATTAGAATTTTGGAC